GAGTCGGGTTTAGTCAAGCCGGGGCCCGTTTCTCCTAACCTTGGCTTATCTGTGTCATTTTTTTTGGTATGAAATGATTTGGGAATAAAATGTCCCCCCCCCCTTGATTGCTTTTAGTAAACATTTTTTTCTTTCGAGACTCGTTGTTGGAAGAGGAAAGACCGTTGCTTCACGATGCGCAAAGCTTTCGGGGTAGCGGATCGTTTTGTGGGAGGCGGAGCACACACACCTCGGGGGGCGCTGGGACCGGGCTGGGGTTCACTAGGGGAGCTTCCAGGAGTGGCAGGAAGTAGGGCCGCCTTTTAGGAAGGTCGAGGCCGGGGAAGTGGAGCTGCATTCCTGGCTTTTTGACCTGGAGCCTCAAGTTTGCATCCCACGCGAGGCTTCCGAGAGGGTCGCTGTCGTTTCCCGCGCCGTTTCCGGGTGCGTGGCTGGGTCGCCGTGAGCGGTGATGCAGACGAGGCCATCCTTAGTTTCGCAGTCCGGTGGGGAAGCGCTGTCCTCCCGTTACGGGACCAGTGGATGCTTCAGCGGGAAGCGGCGAGTGCAGGGCCGCTGTGGGGCGGAGGGTTACCTGATGCCGGGGGCTGTTTCACCGAGGAGACGACTGGTCCTGGTCTGGAGGGGTCGTCTGCTTGAGATGGGGGTCCGCGTCGGAGCCCGAGATGGTGTCTGGGAGCCTGGCAGGGGGTCGTGGGACAAAAAGAGGGATGAGACGGGACAGGTTGATGAGGACGGAACTGTGAATAGTCGGGTCACCGCAGGAGCGGGAGTCCAACGCTCTGCCGTGTATGAAACGTGCCCACGAGTTGCAGGGACCTGAATATTCTTGTTGTCGGGTATTTAAGATTGAAACACGGCTTTCATCGAGACGTGTGTAGAGGCCTTCATTTTTCTCTCTTTAGATTCTCTCTCAACCGCGCCTTTTGCAAAATAATTAGAAAACGTAAAGATGTTTCTGTTTCTGTTTATCCAGGAAGGAGTGTTCATTTGGGGTGTTTTACGGCTTTGGGTACTTGTTTATTGGTACCTTCATCAGAAGGTACTTTTGGACAGGAAATCAAAAGTTCTGATCAGTTTTCCTGCATTTTTGAAACCTAGTTTAAAGCTTTGGGCTACAGACAATTGAAATTTATTGGCCAGAATTGCTATATTTGGGATTATGCTTTATCGATGTGAATTAACTGATGCCATGAAATATTGGAACATTCAGTTTAACACCTGAGCACTGTGTAAAAGACACTGTTCACCACTGTGGAGTATAAAGGGGCTGGTAAATGTTTAGTAGAAATACACATGGTAGTTACATAGTTTCTTGCTAGAACTTCTGGTCCTTTATGACTCATCTCTGTTTTCACTTTTTAAGTCATCATTGATAACCTGGAACGGAATTAGTTTTGTTCTTTTTTTTTAATGCTGGCTGTTATAGT